TATTCCAGGGGACCGTGACCATCTCTCAAAATGTCCTATAGTGGTGGTGGGTCACCTGTCCTCTTGATCAAGGAGGCCAAGGAGACCCCACCAGATGGACTTGAACTGTTGTCTGGTCTACAAAGAGGAGGGTCAACAGAGAGGAATCACTTCCTCCATGCTTCCAAGCGAAGCCAACCATGGTCGAGCAGGACCTTTGACTTATCTTCACATAGGTGGAACTGGTAAAAGAAAGGAGCCAGGGGCTCTTCCCAAGCCCATGTGACCCCTGAGGAACAGATCCTCAAAGGACCTTAAGAGTAAAAATAAATCAGTTTATCTGGGCCAACTATATGGCCTTAAACATCCAAAAGGAAAGTATAACCAAGATTAAAGGGGTCAATATAATTTCTTAAGAGTCCATATGCATAGCTAAACGCTACATAACAAGCAACAATGCCAGATAGGAGATACCTTCTTTTGAGTTGTTGGCCAGGGTAGCCCAAGGGACTCCCAAATAGTGACCCAGCATAGAACTGGGAAAATGAACAGCAGACCCGAATCTTCTCTAAAGGAGTATTGACAACTAATTGCTGCTAGAAGAGGAACAGCTGACCCTCCTAAAACAAAGACCTCTAGATAGGCTGACTAGATTCAACAGAAGGGCAAGTAGTGAGGATTGGCTGGGGTGCTGACAACACAGCAGACAGTAGCAGGGATATTAGAATATCAGAATATAAGGGCTCTAGTGGGGGGAGGGAGGCTATGGGAGGGTGCCATCTGGGAAGTGGGTGTATAGTTGAATAAGATGGTTTGGGATGTTCTGTGTGATACACACACATACACACACACACACACACACACAAAACACAAATTAAAAAAAAAAGTATTATATTTGAGGAGGAAGCATGGAAATTTACATCATGCTAATTAGTAGAGGTGGTAAACATTACCACTGGAATGTACCCGATGACTTCATTGACATACACAGGCACCAAGGAGCCAATTCCAACCAATTATGACTAGTAATAATCAGATGTATATAGATTAGAGATGCATGCGCCAACATCTCAGTGTTAGTAGAAAAAAAAAAAAGTCTTTCTGCAAAGAAAAATATATCCTAAAATGAAATGGAGATCTTTTTTAAAGGTTAAAAAACTCATTCAATTTTATGTCTTACAGGGCTTATACTGAGTTCAATACTGTATAAGTGTATTAACTCAACTGTGATCCTAGAAACTTGCACCCACTTGTGAAAGTGATGTACTCTTGCTCTGGAGTCTGTTACTGAACATGTTAAATCTATAGTGAAATGCTTTTTCTAATCATGTAGTTATTAGAAATTTTAAAAAATGATTAAAAAAAATTAGATTTGAAAAACATTACCATTGAAATCTACCTGATGACTTTATATCCATGTTCAGATGCCAAGGAGCTCAGAAAGCAACCAACTGTGACTAGTAACAATTAGACATATAGAGATTAGAAATGCATGTGCAAACATCTTCATGTCAACTGCACTAAAAATGAATTTTTCTGTATGAAACTGTGTATTTTAATAATGAAATGGTGATCTTTTTAAAGGTTAAAACCTCATTTAATTTTACATCTTATAGGGTTTATACTGAGTACAATATGCTATAACTGTAATAATTCAACTATAAACCTAAAAATTTATAGCCAATTTTGAAAAAGATGCATCTTAGCTCAGAAAATTATTATTGAATATGTCAATGTCGTTGTAATGAAATGGTTCTTCTAAGTATGTGGTTATTAAATAAATAATTAACTGGAAAAAAAAGTTCAAAATAGCAAAAAAAAAAAAAAATTACATACACGATGGTAATGTTGGACTAACCCCTTCTAAATTTTTTTCCCCCAATTCAACCTCTGAAACAATTCATGACTATCAAATATATAGTTTAATACTTACCACAACTTTTGCTATATTCTAAAGCTGCAATCTGTGTCTTTTACTGCTTAAATTTCATTACTTTTTTTTCTGGAGAGGTTCTGGACTATGAGTAACCACAATGGGGTATATACCACAGGGCTAACATCCTTAATTCTGGGCAATTTCTGACTACAAATGGAATTTATAAGTAAATTCATGTTTCATTAATGTACTCAATGAGATAAAAATTATAGATGAAAATTCCCATGAAAACAGTGCATTTTTAAAAATTAAATGCAACTACCAGTTTCAGCAGCGATCCTGTAGGTTACAGTACATGTATATAATTCTATTACATTTAGACTCTGGGAAACATTACAAAATAAATAATTTCTTCTCTTTTTTTAACTTAAAAAATTTTTTATTATTTTTATTTTATGTGTATGCATGTATTGCCTGCATGTAGGTAGGTGCACCCGTGTCATGCAATGCCCGTAGAGGACAGAAGAGGCTGTTGGATTCCCTGGAACTGGAGTTACCGACAGTTGTTAGCTGTCATGTGGGTGCTGGGATTCAAACTCGGGTCTTCTGTAAGAACAACCAGTGTTCTTAAGCTCTGAGCCCTCTCTCCAGCCCCACACTCAATTTCTTTAACAAATAAGTAGGAAACAAAAGGAAAATGAAACAGGGGCATATCCAGAAACAAAGCAGAACTAAAAGCTGGCTTTTTAAAAAAATGGGTAAACCTCATCTACATTGTTTAGGGGTGGACAATTGAACTCAAAATATTTAAAAATGACTAAATTATCATAACAGCGACATTAGTGCTTCTTAGGACATGGGGTTCTCACAGTGAGGGCCATATGGGAAACATCTGTGGTGATTCCTGACTTGGGTGGGGAACTGCAGTGGTGTTGGCTTTATAAGAATTCCTTATAATGATTTCGGCATGTGGCTCTCTTTATTTGTGTTCTATTTAACAACAAACTATTCCTTAAATAAATCTTTTTTTTTTTTTTTTTTGGTCTTTTTGAGACAAGGTCACCCTGTAGCCCCAGCTGACATGGAATTCGCTATGTAGCCCAGGCTGGCCTGGAATCACAGAGATCCAAGATTCTCTGCCTCTCAAGTGCCACCATGCCCAGCTCTTTAAATATTTATCAAAACAATGGAGCCTACCATAGTTTTTTCAATGTGATCCTGCAGGGAGTCGATGAGCAGGTCTCCCACTGGCTTCCAGACATTCCGCACGGCCTCTGCCTCCTTCATGTCCACATCTAGGTCATCCATGGCTCCCTGAAGGTCGCGGAGTTTCTCTAATGCCTTGTCCACTTGCTTTTGCCAGTTGCTTGTCCCGACATTCAGATTTTCCCACTTCTCTTTGACTTCAGAAGATTGTTTGCGCATAGCTTTGGCAAGCCTTTGGGCTCTCTCCTCAGGAGTCAATTCTGTGATTAAAAAACAGAAGGCACAGCTTGGGTGTCTGGCCAGCTATACATCTGCCATTTCCAACCATGAATATCACCTTTGAAAGGGTTACCAGGCTACAGAAAAGCTGAGCTAGACCAGTCAGCAAAAGAAGAAATCTCTCCTTACTTTTACCAATAAGTTGTGGTTATATTTAAACACAAACTCAAGAGAAGAAAATGGTTACTTGGATTAAAAAATGGCTTACAGTTTGCAGCGACTTCTGAATTTTAATATATTTGTCAGCCTTGAAATGGAGTAATGCTCAAGAAAGAAAACATTTTTTTGTTTACGATAAATTTATGTACAATCCAAAGACAGGGTTCCATTTCATTATTCTCATGAGTAATTTAAAGCATAATTAACACAGAATAGTTATGTTATGAAGAAAACCTCTCAGAAACTAAGATTTATTATTTTTCCACAAAGAACAAACTGAAGGCAATTACATATCTTAGATACTTTACCAACTGTAAGTTTGTCTGGGTGTTCATTTTTAATAAAGGACATTCTACTTTACCTCAAAATGCTCCAAATCATTGGGGAAATGAAATTTATCAAACTTTGTCATAAGAGGAACTTAAATTACTAAACTTTAACTTTCATCCTTAAAATAAATGTGTTGTACCTGTCTTCAGTTGAATATTATTTAAGTCAGTTTATTAGTTCTCCAGGGACAAGCTCCCTGATAGGTTAAGTAATGCCAAGTGGGCAGTCCTCACATACAAGCATCACAAAATATACTCAGTAATTATGTATTTATATAATGTATATATGTATATGTAATAATAAAAAAAGAGGACAGGAAATTAAAGGGAAGTGGGGTAGGGACACAAGAGGAGTCAGAGGAGGGAGGTGGAGAGGTAGAAATGATATAAATATAGTACTCGTGTACAAAATTCTCAAAAAATGTCATAATGTAAAATTACTATCAGGACATTATGAACTGATGTGTAAAGACCTCATAATAATCCTTTGTAAAATAAGTGAATTCAAAACAGTTTAATTGTTTTGCATTTTATTGCCCATTATAAAGAAAATGTTTCTCCATTTTAAAATTAATGCTTATATATTTTGCTTTTTATTTTCTTAAGAATTTCTATTTGATCTTATTAAAATAAAGTGACACTATCAAAAAACTAAAGGGGACAGAGTATATATGTTTGCCTAAATTTCTAGAAAATCCTAGACATTGATATTTAGACTGAAAAGCAGCTTAATTATAATCAACCTCTGCAACCAATTGTCTATGAAAAGTCCAGCAACCTCAGATCTGTGACTTTGGGCTGAGCTACCAAATCATCACTTGGTAAGTAAACTGAGGGTAAGAGGAGAAGGCACGGCAATGGTGAACAGGCTGAATATACCAGAACCAGACAAGAGAAACAAGTAAGAACCCGCTTCAAGCAACAGGCAGGACACAGAGATGCCCAGAGCAAAGTCCTATCTCATGTCATGTGTCAGAACTGCCAGGTTCCGGAGGGGAAAAACTCTCAGAATGTCATTAGAAAGGCAACCCTTATACCTTCACAGGATCTATAAAATGCTAAATATAACATCTCTATTATGTCTTACGTAAATATAAAACACTATGAAATACTCACTTCTAGCAGCCCCAGGGCAGATAGAAAGGGTGATGCTTATGGCAGTTACACCTGTGCTGGTTAATAAGTCACTAGGGCTTTTTCAAAAATATATTTTAAGCACGTATGTTCCAATGGCTAATGTGTGTGTGTGTGTGTGTGTGTGTGTGTGTGTGTGTGTGTATAAAGAACTACCCATTTTAGAAAAGCCAGCTTACGTCTGATTGTTTCTTTGGATAAAGTAAAAACCTTCTGAGCCAATCATTAAATAAGAGCACACAGAGACACACACAGCTTCTTTGTCCTGGGACAAAACATCTTACGCTGGTTGCAATGTTCTTGACTTCACTTAATGGAAGACCTTTTGATTGGGCGATCTTTTATTGTATTTATCACATAAAGCCACTCAAGCAGCAACCCAGAAGACCGGCAAAAGCTCTACTTTCAATTCACCATCTGCTTACCAGAGAAGAACCATGCCCACCACACACTTTTGAGTCACAATAAAAGTATATCTGATGGCACCAACAGCCTTAGTTTACTGTTTTAAGCCAAGAACAGAGCAATAGACAAAAAGAAATAAAAACTTTCCAGAACATTTGTGAAACACGTAAAAAGCAGCAACATGTGAAACATCAAGTTAGGACAATTCAAGGTAAAAAAAACAAAACTTCAAAGAAGCTGAAAAAGAATGAAATAGAGGAAATGACTCTGATCTTTAAAATAAAATCCTCTCCATTGAAAAATCAGAGGATCAATGTTCCTTCAAATTGGCTAAATGTTCTGTGGTAAACTCTAAAGCCCTGGGTGGAGAGTCATTTTGACCCATCTTTCAAAACCCCAGTGTTGCAGGAGGAACCATGTTGAGAGTTGGTTTAAGCTGGCAATTTCTAAAAGGCGAAAGCAGAGATCCCACACTGACAAGTACTGACTCAGCAAATAAGGTGGGGATGGACAGACAGATGCCCACACTGCCCCGGTGGTTCCAGTGCACTGTCAGAATGGCACATTCACTAGTCCTTGGCTGAAGTCACTGGGAATTTTCTCTCCAGTGAGTTGATGGATCAATATCAAGTAAAACATGGACACTGAATACTGGTGGCCAAGGGAGCTCAAGGATAAGATCGAAATCTAATTTGGATCCGAAAAAAGTGAGGCCAAGGGAAGGGAACCCTTAGGGTAAAGCTAAACACATCCATCCCCAGTTCAGGAGCTAAAAGCTCTTTCCAGGACAGTCTCCTCTCTGTGTGTCTGTGTGCATCTGTCTATAAATTTGCACTGTTCCTCCCCATTCTCCTCCTTTTAGGTCATCCCCTCCAATTGGCAAAATTTTGAGTCTGGAATAGTAATTATAGTTTTTATTATTTACATACTTAGATTCTTTTAATTATATATTCTAAAACATATCATAGATTGACTTTTCTTTTTTCTACATTTACTTTTTAGATATATTGCTATTAGTTTTAGTTACATGTATGCATGCCTGTGTAGAGTTATGTGCATGTGTTCCAGAGGCCAGAGGCATCAAATCCCCTGGAACTAGAGTTACAGGCATATGATCCACCTAATGGGGTACTGGGAACCATACTCGGTCCTCTGGATAAGTAGTAGTATGTACTCATAATCACTGAGTCATGTTACAAAGATACTTAAGAAAGAATAGATACCGATCTCAAGAAGGAGAAAAAGGAAAGACAGGAGGGTCACACGTGTGAGGCTACCCTGAGCTACCCTAGGAGAGTTCCAAGAGAGATTGGGCTACAGGATCCTGTCTCAAACAACAACAAAAAAAGCAAAAAAAAGCAGAAAGGGAAGCTCAATACTTTAGTTTTCTCTTTATTTCTTCAAATATGTTCATTATTGGCATTTAGCCCCTGCTCTATACTATGGAGAGGAAGACTACAGTGTGTTCACTAGAGTATAGAAAGGAGACCAAATGTAGGCCAGGAGTGCAGTTATGCTTAGGATCAGCCTGGCCCTGCTGCTGGAGCACTGAGCCTGCTACAGGACTTGCTTGGCACCGCCCCATCAGGTGGGAACCCTATGGACTCCTATTTTACCAGGAAAAGATGTAATCTCAGTGCCTATTTTAACTTTAGAGTCAACCACATAAGAAAGGTAGAGATTCTCCCTTTGTGTTCATGTGCAGAAAAACTTAAGTATATTTCTTTCATGAAATAATAACAAGCATCTATTGGCATCATCCCACTGTTATTTTTAATGAAGATTTCCCATCTTTATTGTATTATGGTACTAACACAGCCTCTACCGTGAGTTTTCATTCTTTATGTCAAGAATATTTTCTTTCTATTTTGGTTTTACAGACTCCAAACTAGCAACCAGTCTGTCCCTGAGATATATTTATTGAATTGACTTAAATGGACACAATTTTTAACTTTACTTCTTTTTCCTTTGACAACATTCAACTTCATAAAAAATTTCCACTTAATTATCACCCTCCCTTCCTCACCATGCAGAACATTTATATGGTTTCTTATTATGAAAGGATAAATCTTAAAAAGCCATGAAAATTCCCAATATCTGAGTTTAATGTGCAGTTTTTGCTTTTTATTTTGCATTTATTTGCAATCTGTTAGATTTCATCAAAGGATGAAAAGATAATATCAAAACAAGCAAAGAAAAAGATTACAAGTAGCATTTCACTGCTGGACAATTTGTTATAAGAAAGATTAGGAAACTGTGTTTACTTATATGAAGAAAAAAATATCATAGAGGCTATTCGTATTTCTTTGAAGTTCAGTTTACATCTACAAAGCAACTGGCATGTATCTGGCACACAGTAGGCCCTCAAAGAAGGTTCTTTTATTGATATGGTTTTAAAAATCATTTAGTTCTAGACATCTATAGAGATTTTTCACATAAGCAAACCAAGTTGAACAACTACTGGACTTCAAGAGAAAAGATTTTACTTGAACTCTTTCTGTCCTTCTGAGGCAGGATAGGAAGGGAAAACAGGCATTAAGGGACAGAAGACGGGAAACAAGCCCCTCACCCTTGGATTTGGTTGGCCTTTCCTGCTAGCGGAGACTCAGGAGACCTCAACATAGCTGATAGAACAAAGACTGCCTATGGAGAGAATATGAATTTTATAAGAGATCTCAAATAAGGATGTTAAAAAACAACAGACAAAGTACATGAACTATGCTCACTGAGGGCTGGAAAGTACATGATCTTGAATTTCAATGTATTGCTACCCCTCTCCCATCCCCAGATGTCAACAATGCAATTTCATTTATAAAGGAAATTCTTTGAGAGAAATAAGTAAACAAGCTCATATTATTTTACATAACTTTGTTTGTTTGAGACAGGGTTACTCTGTAGCCCCAGCAGGCCTGAAACTTGCTATATAGACCAGCTTGGCCCAGATCTTAGGAGAT